GCTGCTGCCAGGTCCAGGTCTGTCAGGGTTCCCGGTTTCGGCCTCCCATTTTCTGCGTCTCCCTCCCACACTCTTTTCCATGTGCCACTTTCAGGGCTCCTCAAACAAATGCTGGTGTTTGGGAAATTTTTTTTTCTTTTGGGTTTCTGGGAGATTTTAAAGGGGCCCCCCAAAAGCTGTTTCCAGGCCCCTAATCTGCCCCAGGCCCCCCTTTTACCCCCTCCCCATGTTGCTGCCCCGGGCCAGAGGGCTGTCATGGGTCCCTGTACGGGCCCCCATTTCTGTGTCCCATCGCCACACTCTGCCCATTTTGCCACTTTCAGGTCTCCCCCAAAACTGCTGGGGTGTAGTATTTTTTGGGAAAAGGGTTTCTGGCAGATTATGGGCCCCCCTTGCTGCTGCCAGGCCCCTAATCTGCCATAGGCCCCCCATATCCGGGTTCCCCATGCTGCTGCCCGGTCCAGAGTCTCTCATGGGCCTTTTGCCACTTTAGGTCTCCTCACACACTTTTGGTTTTTGTGAATTTTTTGCATTTGGGTGCTGGGAGATTAAGGGCCTCCCCCTAGCTGCTGCCCCGGCCCCCAATCTGCCATTGGCCCCTATATAAAGCTTCCTCCAATTTCTGCTGCCAAAGGGCCAGAGTCGTCATGGGTCCCCTGTACCCCGGGCCCCCCATTGCTTTCGTCTCCCCCCGGCCCCAAATCTGCCATGTGCCACTTTCAGGTCTCCTCACCCCTGTTGTTGGGTTTAATTTTTTGACCCTAGGGGGGCTGGGAGATTATGGGCCTCCTATAAATGCCGCCCCGGCCCCTAATTTTCCATGGGCCCCTAAAAAATACCGCCTCCTCTGTGCTGCCAGGTCCAAAGGGCTGTATGGGTCCCTGTCGGCCTACCCTTGCTGCTGTTCCCTCGCCACAAATCTGCCCTGTGCCCCTTTTAGGTCTCCTCCCACACTGTGGTGTGTAGAAATTTTTTGACCCATTGTGGGTGCTAGGCAGATTAACAAGCGGCCTACCATTGCTGCTGCCAGGCCCCCGTAATATCTGCCCATAGCGACCCACTAATAGACCGCCTCCTCATGCTGCTGCCCAGAGTCCAGAGTCATGTCAATGGGTCCACTGTCAAGGCCTCCCATTGCATGCATGTCTCCATCACCACCAATCTGCCATGTGCCACTTTTAGAGATCTCCTCACACACTGCTGGTGTGTACGGAATTTTTTGACATAGGGTGCTGGCAGATTATGGGCCTCCCATTGCTGCTGCCAGGCCCCTAATGTTGCCATGAGGTACACCTAGATATACCGCTTCCTCATGCTGCTGCCTAGGTCCAGAGTCTCTCATGCCATGTGCCACTTTCAGGTCTCCTCACACACTGCTGGTGTGTAGAATTTTTTGACATAGGCGTGCTGGCTGATTAGGGCTCCCCATAGCTGCTGCCAGGCCCCTAATCTGCCATAGGCCCCTATTTATACCACCTCCTCATGTTGCTGCCAGGTCCAGAAGTCTGTCATGGGTCGCCTGTACGGCTCCCATTGCTGCTGTCTCCATCGCCTCACTCTGCCATGTGTGCCACTTTCAGCGTCTCCTCACACATGCTGGTGTGTTGAATTTTTTGACATATGGGTGCTGGCAGATTATGGGCCTCCTATAGCTGCTGCCAGGCCCCTAATCTGCCATAGGCCCCTATTATACCGCTTCCTCATGCTGCTGCCAGGTCCAGAGTCTCTCTAATGCCATGTGCCACTTTCAGGTCTCCTCCTCACATGCTGGTGTTGTAGAATTTTTTGACATAGGGTGCTGGCAGATTTATGGGCCTCCTATAGCTGCTGCCAGGCCCCTAATCTGCCATAGGCCCCTATATACCGCCTCCTCATGCTGCTTGCCAGGTCCTAGAGTCTGTCATGAGGTCCACTGTACGGCCTCCCATTGCTGCTGTCTCCATCGCCACACTCTGCCATGTGCCACTCTGTTCAGGTCTCCTCACACACTGCTGGTGTGTTGAATTTTTTGACATAGGGTGCTGGCAGATTATGGCCTCCTATAGCTGCTGCCAGGCCCCTAATCTGCCATAGGTCCCTATATATACCGCTTCCTCATGCTGCTGCCAGGTCCAGAGTCTCTCATGCCATGTGCCAATTTCAGGTCTCCTCACACTGCTGGTGTGTGTAGAATTTTTTGACATAGGGTGCTGGCAGATTATGGGCCTCCTATAGCTGCTGCCCAGGCCCCTAATCTGCCATAGGCCCCTATATACCGCCTCCTCATGCTGCTGCCAGGTCCAGACGTCTGTCATGGGTCCCTGTACGGCCCTCCCCATTGCTGCTGTCTCCATCGCCACACTCTGCATGTGCCACTTTCAGGTCTCCTCACACACTGCTGGTGTGTATAATTTTTTTGACATAGGGTGCTGGCAGATTACGGGCCTCCCATAGCTGCTGCCAGGCCCCTAATCTGCCATGGTCTCCCGCCCTATACCGCCTCCTCATGCTGCTGCCAGGTCCAGAGTCTGACAATGGGTCCCTGTACGGCCTCCCATTGCTGCTGTCTCTATCGCCACACTCTGCCATGTGCCACTTTCAGGTCTTCCTCACACTGCTGGTGGGTTCCACATTTTTTGTCATAGGGTGCTGGCAGATTATGGGCCTTCCCATAGCTGCTGCCAGGCCCCTAATCTGCCATGGGGTCCCCCGTACCGACTCCTCATGCTGCTGCCAGGCCCGTAATCTGTCATGGGCCCTGTTGTCGCTTGGTTGGCATATTCGCTCGTTCAGATGCTCCTTCTCCTGCTACTCCTCTTCACGGATTCCGTCAGCAGTCATTTCTTGGGAATCCGTTTCCAAGAGGGACAACAGTTTGCGAGCACGCCACCAGACGGTGCAGAAACTGAACGTCCTCCTGTCCAAGTTGCTGCTGCCAGGCTCGTAATCTGTCATGCGCCCCTGTACCGCCTCCTCATGCTGCTGCCAGGGTCCAGAGTGTGTCATGGGCCCCCGTACCGACTCCAAATGCTGCTGCAGGCCCGTAATCTGTCATGGGCCCCTGTACCGCCTCCCCATGCTGCTGCCAGGTCCAGATTGTGTCATGGGTCCCTGTACGGCCTCCCATTGCTGCTGCCAGGCCTGTAATCTGCCATGGGCCCCCGTACCGACTCCTCATGCTGCTGCCAGGCCCGTAATCTGCCATGGGCCCCTGTACCGCCTCCTCATGCTGCTGTCAGGTCCAGAGTGTGTCATGGGTCCCTGTACGGCCTCCCATTGCTGCTGTCTCTATCGCCACACTCTGCCATGTGCCACTTTCAGGTCTCCTCACACTGCTGGTGGTTTCCATTTTTGTCATAGGGTGCTGTATGGCCTCCCATTGCTGCTGCCTCCACCGCCACACTGTGGCTCCACACTCTGGTTTTGGCCCCGTGACTGGCCAAATGAGTGAAGTGTGCGGTGATTCTAAGATCGACGGCACTCATCTGCATGTCATACTGCCTGACAGTATTATTTCTCTTCCCCAGCAGACTCCAAGGGCATTTAAATTAAAGGTACAGTGTTCAGCACTAATATTAAGTCTCTCTGAAGCCTAGAAACACCCTTTTTTAAGTTAAATTCACAGCGAATATATTCGACTCGAATCGAAATTTTTCCACGAATTCGCCGAATCAGTCGAATCGAATTTTTGAATACTTCGCTCATCTCTAATTGTGATCATAAACATTTAATCATATGAATACCAAAGCTGCAGTTGCTGATCAGTGCATTCTGACAGGTGACACTATCAGAATACAATGTTCCTTTCAGGGGAATTCCTCCATCCTCTGTCTAAGACGAAAATAAAGCAAAAAAACTAACAGCTTTACAAACCCTTGCAATGTCCCCCATTCAGATGCCCAGTCAGTGAACATGAAAGTGTAGCAGCAGAGTGAATATTGTGTCATGAGCAGCTTCCTCTTTCCTGGACCAATGACACAAACGTATACATTTTTCATGTACAGTTTAGTTGTGTACACATTGCTATTGTAACAGCAATATGGCAGCCACTATAACAAACTGTACAGAAAGAAATGCACTATAGTGTGCAGATACACCTGCTTGATATTATTTTTATTATTATACAGTATTTATATAGCGCTAAAAGGTTTTGCTCAGTGCTGTACATTATAGTGAGGGACAGAACATTAGACAATACAGTAACAAAACAAAACACGAGGGGTTCAAAGGCCCTGCTCTTTCGAGCTTACAATCTAGGAGATGAGAGTATTGTGGGTAAAGCCAAATTTCGATATATGTGTACCATTGACCAGCTTCTGTAGTACAGTCCTGCTGGAATCCAGCACTAGATCAGCTCATGCAGTCAACGGATTGCAGTACAATCTTAACCAGAATAAATTACCACCAGGAAGTAAACTCACACACTGATTGGAGTAAACTGGTAAGAGGTTTATAGCAGATTTAAATGTAGCTTGGTTACAAAGCATAAACAAAATCAGCATATGCAGAGTCAGTTGTTACTTGTGTCAACTTTAAACCAAGAAAAGGCAAAACTTATCACAGAGCCATAAATAGTGTTAGCAGGCCTGCTTTTCAGAAAATTAACCCATTACCTTCAACCTGAGGTGGCTTTATAGTTCCCAGTGAATGAGATTTATCAAACAGGCAAGGCTATCTCACTTTGTGCCCTCAGGGCCTGATGGCAGAGATGTAGCCTGAGATAAAAGAGCTCTTTACCCCTGAAGTAACCAATTTCTCTTTAAGTGCAATGAAGAGTCTTCTGTGCTCGTGATGGGGCCCAGTTGGTGCACAATAGGAAGAAGTGTAATTAGTGATTCTCTAAAGCCAATGCAATAAAGCAAAGAATAAACAGAACTCCCCCTAAAAGGACAGTGGACTGGTATAATATCCCTTTAAGTGCAGTGATCACTAGTAGATTTGAAGAAAAAGGCAGAAGTGATTGTTAATACAGGCTAACTCCTCTCTGGACTGCAAGACTATTGGCACAATAGGAAAAGGTCTCTTTAAAAGGGTAAATTGATAATGGCTGTGGGTTGGCATGCCGGATGGCTGTTCTGCTATCAGTGCTGGTGTCGAGGCTGTGTCAAGTGTGGTTAAGCAATAGTAACTGGAGGAACTAGGCTGCAACTTATAATTATTTATTTATTTATTTCAGGTACTTATATAGTGCTGTCCATTTACGCAGCGCTTTTACATATATATTGTACATTCACATAGGTCCCTAACCCTCAAGGGGTGTACAATCTAAGGTCCCTAACTCACATTCATACATACACATTTCTAGGGACAATTTAGACAGGATCCAATTCACCTACCAGCATGTCTTTGGAGTGTGGGAGGAAACTGGAGTACCCGGAGGAAACACACGCAGGCACAGGGAGAACATAATGACTGTATGTGATGTCTGCAACTGTGTGGATGAAATATCAACTATGAAGCAAGTGTCAGTGTTTTATTTTCCCTGGGAAGGCTAGGCACTCTCTCACATGAGGAATGGCATCTTGTGGATCCTTGCGGTCTTTCCCTGTCTCCAGATGGGACCCACTTGAACTCTCCAGTCTTGCCTGCAACGTTACCTGCGGTCACCTAGTGGAAGATCAGCTCTCTGGATCAAGTGGCAAGGTCAACGATCAGCAGATTTTCCTTGCCTTCCTTCCCTCTCCTCCGTAGCCTGGTCTGGTTCTCAGGCGATCTGCACACTTGTCTTTCTAGATCTCTCTCCTCTCACCTTCTGTCCAGTCTCCCAGGCTTTGATATATATCTGCCCCAGCCCACACACCAGCTCCTCTGGGAGATGTAGTTTCCAAATGCACTGTTCCTTAGTAATTCAGTCCTGAAATTCAGCATACAAGTTCCATGTGGCTGTTCTTCAATATGTGAAGGCTACTGTTCTGCAGAACACTGCCATCTTGTGTTGGCTTCAACATCCTGCATTTGACATTTTAACAGAGTGTTATACCTGGATAGGTATCAAAACCATTGTCAGTGAGCTAGGATGTGTAGTGGTTAGGGAAAGCTAACAACATTGTTCGGTAAGAGATACTTTGCCACACAGTGCTGTACTGTACATGACTATGATATACAGTGCTATACTGTGCTATAAGGCGCTATATACTGTAAATTGCAGTGTGGTGAGCTACATACCCTTGTGTATCTCTGTTTTCATAGTTTCATAGATCTATCATTCTTAGGATTCCTTTTTATCTGTAACAGCAGCAAGTGAGTCCAAAAGTTGAAATTGGAAATGGGTCCTAAAACATAAAGATCCATAGCACACTAACAAATACACCAAGGAATGACTCAAAAAAATGAAATAAATAGCTATGGCCTTCTCTAGTCAAGCCTTAATTTGATTCCCAATTTGATATTTTGTAGGGAGATTTTGAAAGAGTAGTTCATGTATTTTGCGGTTACGGGAAATGCTGGGTTTTTTCCTAGCTAGGAGCTCCTTTAAGCTTTGAGTGTGCAGCATAAACTAGTTGCTAAACAATGATTTAGCTCCTCTTTGTACACAGCAAACAATACATTGCTGTGTGGTAAACATGTGTGCATTAAAAGCACCACACTTTCGTCTCCCTATTGCCAGAATTTCAGTTAAAGGTTAGCATGCCATTCACTTAAAAAAAATACTGTAGTGAGAGACAGATCCAAAATGAGAGGCAAAGACACTGCGCATGGCAGTAATAGGTCCTGCAGGAGTAGAGAAGGCCTCTGCCCCCAGATACCATTGCAACAGTGATATTCCAGTGCTGTAATGGTTAATATGAGCAGCTGCAGCTTGTCAAGTGCCAACTATGCTCACCCTTTTGACCCCTATGCTCCATTCATAGAAGCCATACTATTGTTTTTCACAATAAAAAAATGGTCTATGACTGAAGAACTGGAGGAAGAATACAAGGTATGGCTCCTTTGAATGGAGCAGAGAGCCAGAGAGGGCAGGCATATTTGGCTTTTGATGAGTGCCTGTCAAGAACCCCTGCAACACCAGACGATTACCCATTGTGGGGGTAGCCTGGTCAGATTTCACAAAACACAACAGCAACTAGTACATTCATGGTAAGTACTGTCCCTGGTGTTGTTTTTTTTTTATTTACTAAACATTTTTGTATATTTTTAGGACTGTGTTGTAGTACTCAAGTAGTAATTGCTTTTATATTTTTTTCCTTTTCTGATCAAAAATAAGAAAATGCATACAGTAAAGTTTTCTTCACAATGTCAGCCAAGATGAAATGGTGCCCCTTTTAAATCCACATTTCATAATATAAAGTAAATGATTTTGACTTTATGCAAACTATTTTATTTTTCTGTAAGGTTTCTGCTTGAAATTAGCAGAAACTTCCTTTTATACAATACCTTAACTACAAAAACACTAAATCCACTGAATACAGTCTGCAAATGGG